TCTCTCTCTCTCTGTCACACACACACACACACACACACACACACACACACACACAAAGAGATTTAGGGAGAGAGAGAAAGATTTAGAGAATGCAGCTTCTCCAAAGTTGAGAGGAGAAGGATGTTAGTGATTATTGCTGGATGCCACCCAATAAGCAGATCAGGGTATACCTGAGCAAGAAAATGCTTCTGTTCTACTCTTGATCACTAACTGATTACATGGGTAACCTATATATTGCAGAATGTGAATCCCTGTTCTAATTTTTTAAGCTATACAAGCTGATTATTCATTATTCTTAAGCTGAGGATAAAGAAAACTCTTGTAGGCAGCTTACTAACACGTATTTGTGGCAGTTCATGCTGCTGGTGAGTAAATAAATGCAACAGAGGTAAAAATGGCTTTAATTAAGGTGTGGACATGGAGGTAGTGAATTCTAGGCTGGAAATAAAGGATTTCAGTCATATAAAGATTTGTTTGGTGTTATAATGGCCCAACAAGATTCCAGAAAGCAATGGGTTTTTTTGGGGGGGGGGAATGTTAACTTTATGCACATACACCTTTTTGGGCAGATTCAACTTACAGATTTTCACAAAATGACCAGTCAGAACTACTTTAGGCTCAGAACTCTCATGAGAGAATTCTTCTCATGCCAACAATAAAAAATAAAATGAAGATATCTCATTATTTCTTCTTCAACTAAGGAAAATTCCAAAAACGATGTTATCAGTATAGTACACAATGTTTTTATAGCATTTTCAAGTCATCTAATTGCATTATAAACATTATTTACTTGCAAACTTTATAATCATCCCAGAAGGTAAGTTAAAACTATTATCCTCTCTATTGCTGGGATGAGAGGCAGGCAGAAAAGAATAACATTTTCAAGGTTGCCTAGTAGATTCATGATACAATAAGAATTTCAGATTATACATCAGCAATTTTCATTATAGATGACTCTCGCTTAACAACAATTGAGACTCTGTTACCAAGCAATCATTTTATGGCCACATCGTTTGGTAACAGAGTCTCAATTATAAAGTGCTCAAATGTCAAATGATCATGCTGACTTATGATAGCAGTTGTGGCAGTTCCATTTCCAACAAACAAATCTTGCGTGGTTGTTAGGCACAACATGTTAGGGTCACCATGGACTTCACTTGTAAGAAGCCAGTATTTTAAAATTGTGAATGGCAATCACATGATTGCAGGATTATTATGGCCTTTGTAATTGTGAGCTAGTTGGCAAGTGCCCAAATTGCCATAATTGGGGAACATTGCCAACGTTGCAACTACAACCTTAATAGGACTTAATAGTGCATCAGAATGTTGCTGAATGGCTGGTTGTTAAATGAGAACTACCTGAAGAAACTTTCCCTCTCTCTAACATTTAGCTTAGAGATACAAGTTGTTTCAGAATTGAAATTGTTAGTGTACAGCAAGTGTTTTAAAGCTGTTATTCAGTTTAGAGTATATTCTGCCCATCAGTGTAGATAATGTATAAATATAATGGAAGATCATCAGTGGTGATACAAAGAGCCCAAAGAAAATTTTCTTCATATTATCGGAAAAGAGGTGTCACTTAATAGGCAACAGGTTAGTGATTGTCACTGGCTCTTATGAGAGAGGAAGAGGGAGGGAGGGAGAGACAAAGAGAGACAGAGAGGGAGATAGACTGGCCCAAGGTTATCCAGTTGGCTTCGTGCCTAAGATGCAGGGCTGGCTCCAGAAATTCTGGCAATGTGGGCAAATTTATGTTCAGGTGCCGGCTGTGTTTTGGTTTATCATTCAATTTTTGTCAGGAATTTCAAAAAGGTGCCCCAGACATTTTTTTTCAAAAATTTCAAAAAGGTGTTTCTTTCTTATTCAAGTTTTTGTGCTTACACTTATGATTTTCAGCCCCAGACATTTTTTTTTCTTTTCCCAGACATTTAAACCCTATATACACAGTAATTTTAATTACATCATCACTCATTGTTGTTACATGGCAATAATTCTGCAAAATTATATTTGATCTTTGAGTGAGCAGGCTGGCTTATGGAACACAGTACTCCCTCTTTTCACTTTTTAATTGCATTTTTAAAAAGTCATTTCAATTTTGCTGTCTACTAAAATTTGGTGCTCCATGGCTGGTACCCATTCCACCTTAACCTAGAGCTATCTCTTCTAAGGCAGGACTAGAATTCGTGTTTTAGTTGTTAGCTTGCTGTGTTAATTATTACACAAAACTGGTTCTCTTAGCAAATGTTACTGTTAAAAAATAGATTTTGGACATTCGTGTTGCGTGACAATAAAAGGAAATTTAATCCATTTGGGACAAATACTCTCAAACCATCTAAACAGTTTGCTAAATAATCTTGTGGAAGGACAGATGTGATAAAAAGTCTGATTCCTATCATACTGGAACCACTGGGACCAGTACAAACTGAACATATTTAAACTTTATGAATGTTTTTGTTTTATACTATTGCAAATGCTTTTAAAAGGTTTAGGATGTAGGAGAAAGTTTATCAGCCTTTTAAAATCTTGTACAATTGCTCAGGTGCTCCCAAAGAATAGTGATGATGGTAATAATACCATTAACATTAAATGGTTTAAATCTCAGCATTATTAAAACTAGTAAGATTTCAGCAATTTTGTATGTTTTCAAGCAATTGTTAGAGTTATCTAAGAGATTGCTGAGAACAACATCTCATGAAATTTGGTGATCATCTGAAATGTAAAGTATCTTTGAAAAGAAAAAGAAAAAATAATAATTTGGGAGTTTGATGTATCCCTTCTATGGTGCTGTGAGTACAGGATACTAGAGGCTGTGTTGACAACCAAGGAAGGGAAAATTTAAGTTAATATGTAGAAACAACTTTTATGTTCAAAACTTTAGTGCTGAGTTTTTATGGTTGAATAGTTTCCTTTTTTATTGTCAGAGAGATATAACAATATAGCTTCTGTAATAACAGTCTAGCGATGCATCATCAGATTAATATTCAACTGTCCTTGTGCCTAAGTCATGCACTCTGCTTTAAAAATATCTGTGTGTCCTCTTTTCAGTTACTTCGGAGTCATGGAAGGTGGCACAATCGTTCAAAAGTCTGAGAACAACAATGACACAGCCAGCTTGCCTTCTTCACAGTCTTCACAGTCATCTTCCTACATACCTGTCAAACTAGAAGAATATGAAACATCAGGCTTCAGCATCAAGAAGCTTCTCACAAAAGCCAAAGAGAATTACAAGTGCAACCAGGAAAGTGTCCTCACCTTCTTTCGTCAGTTGTTCCCAGTAATTGAGTGGCTTCCTCATTACAACATCAAGGAACAACTGCTAGGGGATATCATCTCAGGCTTATTGGTAGGAATTGTTTCCATCCCTCAATCAATCTCCTATGCCCTCCTTGCAAGCCAGGATCCCATTTATGGTCTCTACACCAACTTCTTTTGTGCTATCATTTACTTTTTCATGGCTACCTCACGCCATAATTGTGTTGGTTCTTTTGGGGTCCTTTGCTTGATGATTGGACAGACAGTAAATCGGCAACTTACCCTAGCAGGATATGATTTGGACATGAATACAGATCTGATGGCCAATACTACAATGAATGGGACAGTTGCCTGCAACAGAGGTTGTTATGCAATCACAGTGGCAACCACTCTAACTTTTTTGGTTGGGATTTATCAGGTAAGTTAAATTAATCTTTATTTTTAAAGAATTTCTTTCTATGTAAATGTCCATCTAGTTTGAGCAAAAAATTGCCTTTATATTTAGTGTTCTTCAAACTGAAAAAAAAAATCAATGCTCCTTCTAGTACAAACAAATGTATCTCTACATGAAACCCATCGACCATCCAGGATTTTAGTAGCATACGTCTAATTGTCCTGAGGATTGATTGAGGGAGCTTTTGCATGTAAAATATTTATGTATTTATTTCAAATGCTTTAATGTGATTTCAATTATTTTAAGCCCTACTTCTGAGTTACAGGTGGCTTTTGAAAAGTGGTTCTTTATAATATTTTATCAAACTTTATTCATCTACTCTGTCAGAGTCAACTTCTTGTAACTAGTAATAACAGACAAAAAAAATTCAAGTTGAGATCACCTTCTTTTTCAATGTATTTATTTATGAATTGTGATTTCTATTTGCTTTTCCTTTTCAGATTATTCTAGGGGTCTTCCAGTTGGGCTTCATCTCAGTTTATCTCTCAGAACCTCTTCTGAGTGGGTTTGTAACAGGGTCCTCCCTTACCATTCTCACATCCCAAATGAATCTTTTACTTGGACTGAAGCTTCCTCGGCATGATGGAACAGGTTCCCTGATTTTGACATGGATTGACATCTTCAGATACATTGGGAAGACCAACATCTGTGATTTGGTCACCAGCATGGTGGCTTTAATTCTAATTGTGCCAGTAAAAGAAATCAACAATTTATTTAAGGACAAAATGAAGGCTCCATTTCCTATGGAACTCCTAGTGGTAATTGGAGCTACACTCCTCTCGCATTTTCTTAACTTTAATAAAAAATACAAATCTAAAATTTGTGGCACAATTCCCACTGGTTTCAAACAACCTGCTGTCCCAGATCTGAGCCTTTTATCAAATCTGGCACTTGATGCTCTACCCATTGCCATTGTTGGTTTCGCTATGACAGTCTCACTGTCAGAAATATTTGGCAAGAAGCATGGCTATCCGGTCCGAGCGAACCAAGAGATGATTGCCATTGGGATGGGAAATCTGATCCCATCTTTCTTCTACTGCTTTGCTTCCTGTGCAGCCTTGTCAAAGACTTTGCTGAAAGAGTCAACGGGATGCCATACTCAAATATCAAGCTTGATATCCTCAGCTGCATTGCTCCTGGTACTACTGTGGATTGCCCCTCTCTTCTATTCACTGCAAACTTGCATCTTGGGTGTGATTACAATTGTTAATCTCAGGGGAGGATTGCGGAAATTTGCTGAAGTACCCAAGATGTGGCGGATCAGCAAAATAGACACCATAGTCTGGTGGGTAACCATGCTGTCCTCATCTTTGATCTCCACAGAACTGGGCCTTCTGATAGGGGTCTGCTTTGCTCTTCTCTGCATCATCTTACGCACCCAGTGGCCCCGAGCCACCCTTCTAGGTAAGGTGCATGACTCAGAAATCTATGAGGATCAGTTTACTTACAAGAGGATCACCAGCATTGCAAATATCAAGATCTTCCGCTTTGATACTTCTCTTTACTATGCAAACAAAGACTACTTCAAAAGTTCACTTTTCCAGAAAACAGGAGTGAATCCCTGCCTAGTTGCTGCTATACAACAAAAGGCTCAAGCTAAAGAAAACCTGAGCAAAAATGAAAGTTGTTTTTCTTCCAAGTTGAACTGCCTAAGGGGAACCAAGACCCCAAAGGCTTCAGCAGATGGCCCTGTGGCCTCGATAGATATGCATACCTTGATCATTGATTGTGGAGCCATGCAATTTATAGACACTGTAGGCCTTAGTTTGCTGAAGGAGATGCGGAAAGATTACAAGAAGATTGGCGTACAGGTCCTGCTTGCCAATTGTAACCCATCCATACGGCGTTTGCTCCAGGCAGGAGGTTGGCTCACTGGGATGCAGGAACCAGAGTTGCTCTTATTCCATGGTGTACATGCTGCTGTGCAGTTTGCAGAGAAACAGGATCAAACTCAACAGTCAGACAGTGTGGTGGCAACAAATGTTTTTCAACCAGAAACCGAGGACGTTTCAATAGCCCTGAGTCTGGAAGAACGCCTCTAGGCCTGCATGAAGCAAGATGTGAACTTCTGAGGAACTATTTCAAGAGTTATTTTACCAGGAAGAAATGACTGGCTGCCAATAACCTAAGATAACATGCATTTCAGTTGTGACAAGCTAAGATGGTGGCCTTTACATTTCAGAGAATAATTATACTCTGTTGTTGTTACATTGCCACCTGATCTTTGTCCTTGCTATAGAGATAAAATGATGTGGGAAAAGCTGCTTAATTTCTTTACTTAAGCAACTATTAAAGGGAAAGAAAGGAAGATCTTCAAAGCAGGAGCTTAATTATATTTTTTAATCCTGCATGAAGCTGGACCAGTATTTAATCAACAAAACAATCATGAATATATAGATAGGTTGGGAATCACGAAGTAGTGAGTCTGACCTACATATGCATCTGGAGAAAGTCAGGGTCTGAATTGACAGCTTTATAGTCTTTCAATGACTGTGTCAATTTAAGAAGACACTTCTTACAAATAAAAAAAATATCACCATGTACAGTTCTAGCCTTGCTTTTCTACCTTATAGATTATCTACAAGAAAAAGAAATGGTAGGAAATAGAGAACAGAAGGCTGATAGAGAATAGACAACTGGCACTTACCAGAATTAAGGACTACAAGTCCCATCAATCCTAGCCATTAAGATTGGTCAGGGATGATAGATCTGTGGTCCATTGCATCTGGAGAATGACAGGTTGCCTACCCAGGTTTTAAAAATAGCTGGTCCCATGAAAGAAAGCAAATGTCTATGAGTAGCCTCATTCATTTTATAAGCTTAAACATCGTTAGCACTATATCTGTGCTCAGGAAGGGAACATATCTTTAGTTGTTGTATTATATCATAACAATTCAGCCCACTGGTTTTCCTAGACAGGCACCCTCTTATCTGACCAATCTGGATTTGCTAAACTGTCAAACAAAGAGGAAACTCTACCAAAAATCTTTTTAACCGGCACTGACAGGCTGAACCTGTTCTGTTCTGTTCTCTAGAACAGAATAGAGTCAGAAGGGAAAAATAAATGTAAAATAATATAGTTTTTACCCTAGGACAGGGGTGTCAAACTTCCAGCCCGTGGGCTGGATGCATCACGCACTGGCCATGCCCACCCTCATTTTAGCGAAGGGGAAAAGAAGTTGCGATATGTCATGTAATGACAACATGACACTGCGAGTTTGACACCCCTGCCCTAGGAAAAGGATATTCTGTTGGATAGTAGAGAATATTATATAATCTTATAGATAGATTTAAGATCTTACGATGATCCTAAGAATGCAGCAGGCTTTATATGGATTTTGAAGCTGACTTGCTGCTTGTTGTCCATAAAATTGTTTCCCTTTTTCTGTAATTTCTTTAAAAATTGCTCAAGTTAACAATGGCAATTTCCTCTTAAAGAAAAAAGGGAGCTGCATAAAGGTGGTGGGAGTGATGTCCCTCTCTCGCCTTGCTGCCCTCTGCAGTTTTTCCAACCAGTCTGCTGTCCTGCAGGTCCTGCAGACTGTAACAAAAATGTGGTCTGGGAGAAAAAGGAGAGACTAGATGTCCTACAGCTGATGTGCTAAACTCCACCATGTATTGTAGTGCTAAACTCAGCTGATATGCTAAACTGAGCTAAACCTGAGCTTCAGGATTAGGAAAAATATGTGCAGAAACAGCGCAGGAGCCGTTAACAAGAAGATGGGGCTCTTTGCCAGGAAAGAGAGCTGAATAAATTAACATTTACAAAAGGGTTTAGTAATCCAGTGTATTTATCTCATAGGGATTCCTGTATTTTTTTCTGTAAAGAACTCCTAAATTATTGATACACTGTTCTCCCTTCCATGAAATGTTTCCTTCTTTCACTTTATTTTCTTGTATACTAATGAAACAAATCAACAATCAAATATCCGAACTGCTCTTTGTGTCATTTGTTTTGTACATTCCTTATTTCTCATGCTTCCATGACTCAACATTGTTCCAAATGACCTATTTGGTTCTCCACTTTATCCTCCCAGCACACATGATAAGTGGCCTGAACGTAATTAATCATGTCGGTGACATGAACTTGAGGTAGGGGTCTGAATTTCCATATCCAGCAAAAAATAAATAAATAGCCTCTCCTTTCCAAGAATGCCTATTCTGCTGCTCTTGCCATGAAGATACCTCCCTGAGTTGTTTGAAGCTTGCTTTCCTGGAGCTTCCATCCTTTGGTTCTCCTCCTGATTTTTGAAGCAGGAAAGAACAAGTTCACTTCAACCCTCAGATCAAAACCCTATAGCCAAATATAAACATACTTTACCAAAATAAAAGAAAGGCTCTGTGCATCAACAATGTTATTTTTCATTAACCACCAGAGGGCGAGAGAATGACACAGGAAAAACAAAAGTCAGATTTGTGAGTATTGCAAGAATTATAATCAATAAATTATAATAAATTCTCAGGCAATTAGAAGATGCACTGCACAGGACCAGAAGGACTTTTAAAAAAAAATGATGAAAAAAGGTAGATATTTGTTTTTCTCTCGGTGAAAGCATGCGTAGGATGAAGCTGCCTGTCAGAAGAAGAATTTTCTATGATTATTTGCCATTGGGAGAAAGGCAAAGCATAAATTCTCAAGTGATATTTTGCATCAGCTCAGAATGGAAGTAATAATGTTAAATCTGAATCTATGCATAGTATAAATAGATATTTTGGGTTTTGTTGGACTTAAAGAGGAAGGCACATGAAAATAATTATATACATTATATACATTTGAAATTATACATCCAGTGATACATTCAAGGTACATCAGGCTCATTATTTTTTAAAAAAACCCTTTAGGCATAAAAAGAATGTTTGTATTTTGTTAAGCACCTTGGATAATTTTGCAATGGTTTGCTTTGTAACTAGAAGCAATGGATATAAATATTAGAGCTGTGCAAAGTTGCCTGAGTAGTCTGCCTCCTCCTTCAGAGGAGCAATATCCTTGGAGGCCTTTGGCACAACTGCTTTCCTCAGTTGTCCAAAGACAGATTTGCAGAGTGTTTGTACATGTACAGGCTCACAGAGGCAACCAAGGTAAATTTTGCAAGCCGATCAACAGATTTTTGAAAGGATTTGGCCACTTTCTTCCTTAACTTGCACGAACCCACTTTGCAAAGCACCCTGTCAAAAGTTTTGCACAGCCTCAACAAATCTCAATTTGAATATCAAATCCAAAACTTTGCTTTCCAAGAAAAGTCTCAATTGATCTTTAAAGTATCTTCTTTGGAAAAGCAAGTAAGATGTCCAACGATGCAATTTTGAAAGTTTCCCCACCAAAGGCTGCTGCACCATTTCGGCAGCCATTGGGAAGATAAGATTTTCTTATAGATCAGCATATGCTAAAAACTAGTTTATGGAAAAACCAGAGGAGAATCTTGCTGTGAAGATATGTGAAATATTCCCTAAGGCTCTCTATTAAAATGAATGCTTTTAACCTTCCTTTAGTGATGATGAAGCAGTGAGATAGCCATATCATTGATAAGGCAAAACAAAAAGAGACTATGGAAAGCCCAAAGAGATCTGTCTAAACTAGGTAGAGTATGATATATGATTGAATGTATAAGATTGTCATATATAAAAAGAGTCAATTTTGTTAGTGGCGTAGTAGGCAGTAGGCTAGAAGCCAGGAGAGAATGATTCAATGACTCAAAGGCAAAAATAAATTTTAGTCTCCTTCAAGTAAGCTCAACTCCAAGTGATGTTATGGACATTAAGAAACAATGAAATTAATGATACACATTATGTTAGAAACTGAATGGGATGACCAGGCAAGAAATGTGTGGGGTTGGGTAATTCTATAAAAACAGCAAATTCCATGATGGATAGTATCCAGAATTGTGATAGCCTTTATACCATGCCATCATACAAGCAACCTCTTGCAGAATTCTAATCAATATATTTCCAAAAGAGTTTTAAAAGTGCAAAAATTAGTGACCAAAATACACTGCTCAAAAATATAAAGGGAACACTTAAACAACACAATGTAACTCCAAGTCAATCACACTTCTGTGAAATCAAACTGCCCTCTTAGGTAACAACACTAATTGACAATCAATTTCACATGCTGTTGTGCACATGGAATAGACAACAGGTAGAAAGCATAGGCAAGACATCCCCAATAAAGGAGTGGTTCTGCAGGTGGTGACCACAGACCACTTCTCAGTTCCTATGCTTTCTGGCTGATCGTTTGGTCACTTTTGAATGCTGGTGGTGCTTTCACTCTAGTGGTAGCATGAGACAGAGTCTACAACCCACACAAGCTGCTCAGGTAGTGCAGCTCATCCAGGATGGCACATCAATGCAAGCTGTGGCAAGAAGGTTTGCTGTGTCTGTCAGCGTAGTGTCCAGAGCATGGAGGCGCTACCAGGAGACAGGCCAGTACATCAGGAGACATCGAGGAGGCTGTAAGAGGGCAACAACCCAGCATCAGGATCGCTACCTCTGCCTTTGTGCAAGGAGGGACAGGAGGAACACTGCCAAAGCCCTGCAAAATGATCTCCAGTGGGCCACAAATGTGCATGTGGCTGCTCAGATGGTCAGAAATGGACTCCATGAGGGTGGTATGAGGGTCCAATGTCCACAGGTGGGGGTTGTGCTTACAGCCCAACATCGTGCAAGATGTTTGGCATTTGCCAGAGAACACTAAGATTGGCTAATTCGCCACTGGCACCCTGTGCTCTTCACAGATGAAAGCAGGTTCACATTGAGGACATGTGACAGATGTGACAGGGTCTGGACACGCCGTGGTGAACGTTCTGCTGCCTGCAACATCCTCCAACATGACCGGTTTGGCAGTGGGTCCGCAATGGTGTGGGGTGGCATTTCTTTAGGGGGCCACACAGCCCTCTATGTGCTTGCCAGAGGTAGCCTGACTGCCATTAGGTACCGAGATGAGATCCTCAGACCCCTTGTGAGACCATATGCTGGTGCGGTTGGCCCTGGGTTCCTTCTAATGCATGACAATGCTAGACCTCATGTGGCTGGAGTGTGTCAGCAG